GTAGTTACAGCTCCACACGTCGGCGCTGCGTGCACTTTGGCAGAGACCGACATGCTCAAAGACTGGCCCACCATCTCTTCTACATGTGAATGCAGGGCTGGCACTGCCTTTTTGGCGAAGAAATGCCGGCTTGGCACTCTCCACCGCGGCGCGGAACAAGCCATCATTTCTCGGAAACGGTGCTGAGTCCACCACTTGGAAAGGGAGGGACTGCAGCACCAGCAACTTGGACAGGAGGACGTTCAGCTTCTGCACCGTCGGGTGCGTGCTCGCAAACTGTTGTCTCTTGGAAACGGATTCCAAGAAAGACTGCTGACGGAATCCGTGAAGAGGAGTAGCAGGAGAAGGAGCATCTGAACGAGCGGAAGATGCCAACGAGCGACAACTCCCCTCAGCAGAGGTGTTGGAGCCTTGACTGGCTGATAGAGGGCGATTGACATAGGTGACGGAGCAAGTAACGGAGCGGGTGATGGAGCGGGGGCTGGGGCAGGCAGAACCGCCGTATCTTTATCACGGTTTTCCCAGGCCACCGAATGGCGACGCTGCATATGCTGACGCAACGCTGTAGTCCCAACATTGGCCCCCTGGCCATGCTTGACTTTCTGGCCACATAGTCGACATACGGCTACGTTTACTTCCTCGGGCGGCTTGACGAAAAATTGCCACACCGCCGAGTAGGAAACTTTGCCCCCGATACTCCTCACTGGCTGACTGCTACTTCCTCCGTGCGCACCGGCACCACTACTGGCCGTGGTGGTAGGCTGCAGTGGAGCTGGTGCTCTACTCCGTGGCCGTTTGGCTCCACTGACACTGCTGCGACCCTGCTGCCTCCTGGGCAACCCACCGACTGTTTTGCTCGCTGCCAAGCTGCACCCTCTTCTCCTGATGATGCGGAAGCAATAGCCTGATGACGACGAGGCTGCCAAGTGCGATCAGCCTCATCATCATCAATTAGGGTCTCCGCGTCACTACTAGCCCCCTCGGCTGCGTGTGGGTCAGGAGACAGACCTGTCTCTAGACCAGCTACCAAGCCACTCTCCTCGCCAGTACTTCTTCGCCTGGCTGCTGAAGAGGCGGATGTCTCCCCCCCGTTCCTGACCGCCCTCTGTTAGCTCTTCCTCACTGTACAGTGGGGCTGAGCCCACAGCATGCGATACTTCGCTTGGTGAGGGAACACCAAAGGACAGGGGCAGGTCGAGGACACGTGATTTCAGTGGGCTTGCTCCCGGGCCATGCCAACTAACGGTTGTGTCTGACGTACCCACCGACCGTTGGCTGTAGGTGTCAGAGGTGACCTGGGAAGAGGAAGACGACCGAGTCAACCAATCAATGACGGCAGGGTTGTCGATGGAGACACGACCGCTGGATGACACCGGGAGCACTGGCCTCTGGCTGCGACTAGTGCTGCCTCTACCCCTTCCCCTGCTGCCACGTCTGCTCGCTCCTGCAACATTGCCTCCTCTGCCACTCCTCTGCGTGTTGTCTGACATACTCTTTAATTCAATAAGCACCCCAAAAATAAAAACGGATTTAACTCTTTGAACGTACAATAGTGGTTGTGAAGCAGAAAGTCAGTTTATTGTACACAATCGGTCAATTGCAGCTTGCCATTGGCTGAAAACTGTACGTTTTGTGTCACTGGAATGCACTAATCACCCAAAAAAATATTACCGCCAGCCGGCGTGTAAATGGATTTAACTCTTTGAACGTACAATAGTGGTTGTGAAGCAGAAAGTCAGTTTATTTTGCACAATCGGCAAACTGCAGCACCAACTGTGCACGACAGCCACCAAAAAAAAAAGGGTGTATGTCACTTTAAATTTTCGATTCTTTGATAGCTGTGGCCCTAAGTAACGATTCTGTGTCCCTGAGTAATGATTCTGTGTCCCTGAGTAACGATTCTGTGTCCCTGAGTAACTATTCTGTGTCCCTGAGTAACGATTCTGTGTCCCTGAGTAACGATTCTGTGTCCCTGAGTAACGATTCTGTGTCCCTGAGTAACGATTCTGTGGCCCTAAAGTCTCTGTGGCCCTAACTCTGTCTCTTAATACAGACAGGTCTGTCTCTCTTGAATGACCGGAGGCTAATGGAGAATTCTAAGATGGCCGCGATTTATAGTGCTGGCTGGCTGCTGATTGGCTAATGCGATCACATGTCATGAATGCATTATGGGTCAGCGCGCCTTGTCTGCGCGCCTTCCCAGAGATCCCCGCCCCATCTTCTCTGTCCATTTTCTCCGTGGCCACACATGTCGCCGCCATTTTTGGGAAAATTCGATTCGTGCATCCGAAGTTTGCTAATCTTCGGATTCGTCGCAAATAGAATTTTTCCAAATCTTCGGAACGAATTCCACTTCGTCATGTTCGATTCGCTCATCTCTAGTTAGGATATTTGAACAGGTTGGGTCAAGGTGAATGATCAGAACAGTGCCAAGTGGTTGAACATCAGATCTCAAGTGAAACGTCAAGCCAGCTAGTGGTTCTACGAGACCCTGGAGTCCGGTTGCTTTCCAGGACTTCTTGGCTAAACAGAGTGCGCTTGAGTAAACAGTGTATAAGAGTGTGGTCAGGGACAAAGTCAGGGGTGACAGGTAGAGTTGGGCTTGATGTTTGAGTCAAACCGAAAGTTCAACTCGAACATCGGCCCTCCGTGTGTTCTGCGAACACATGAACAGTAAGGGCATTCAGTGGTCAGGCACCCCACAATGCACTGTGCTCTGGCAGTGCATTGTGATTGGCCAAAGCAATGCACCTGACCACAGGTCAGGTGCAATGCTTTGGCCGATCACGGCACACATTGAAGTCACTGGGTGACCCCGCCCCTTGGATATTTAAGAACTTTCAGGCAAGTGCAACGGTCAGACGGCGGGGGCCAGTGTCGAAAGCAGAGCGAGGTTTTTTTTTTCGGGTCGGCAGTGGCGGTGGGCATCATGATTGATGTTGGATCTACTTGGGGGGACATTTTTTTTACTTTTGTTTCTAATAAAGGACTTGGCAAAGACTGTTTCCTGTCATTTTTTACTACCCTTTTTTTTCGTGAATGGGTAGTGGTACCATGTACCCCATACTCATGGGGGAGGGGGTTGGGACCTTTCAGATTCCGATAAGCACCCTTTCATGACCTCCACAACCACCGGCCATGGTTGTGGGGAAGAGGCCCTTGTCCCCATCAACATGAGGACAAGCATGGGGACAAGGTGTTTTGGGGGGGAGCCCCTTTGCCCAAAAGCACCCCCCATGTTGGGGGCATGTGGCCTGGTATGGTTCAAGAGGGGGGGAGCATTCGCTCAAACCCCCTCGTTCCTGACCTGCCGGGCGGCATGCGCAAATAAGGGTCTGGTATGGATTTTGGGCCATTTTTACATTTATTTTGGCTTTAGGGTTCCTCTCAAAATCCATACCAGACCTTAAGGGCTTGGTACGGATGAGGGAACCCATTTTAAAAAATTTAAAATTTAATTACCGGGAATTTTTTTAAAAAAATTCAGCTATCAGTGGGGAACCCCGCTGACAGCTGAAACATAAAGGAATGTTTTTACTACTGAAATAACTTGTGGAATTTTAGCAGCTCTGCGGTATCTTACTGCATACTCAGATGCGGTAAGACACCGCTTAGTGAATTGTCCCGGTTTAAAGATCTCAGTTGAATTAGGTTCAAATGTTCGACCGTGAACAACTGAACAATGGTCGGCCCATCACTAGTGACAGGGGACGCAGAAGCCACATACACAGCCAATGAAACCACAGGGAACCCAAATGGATCTTCGGTTCAACAACCATCCTACAGCCGGGCTTTCAACAGAGGTAGACAACCAACTCTGCAGATGGACATCTGGATTCATCCATGGTGGGACACAACGACTTACGAAGACTAGAGGGAGTTGAAGAGGAGGCCAAGCAGCTTCACCATAGGAGTGCTAGGATCGAAATGTCAGACATTTCACACATGCTGGGCTCCTTGAGTTCGTTTAACTGCAAAACTGCCCACGTTTGATCGGAGGATGCCTTTAAAACTGCAGAAAGCTAATTTGGAGAAGTCCTTTTTTTTAATCTGTAACAATCAATTTGCCACTTTGAAAGTGAGAAATGACTTCTCTAATATTTTGGTTTTGGTAAATACAGTATGATGATATCTGGCTATAAGAGTGGGGAATAGAGGTTCATATAAAGATTTACTGTATCACCCAATATGTGGCTTCCGTCCTGTAGCCAAAAAATACATTTAAACAAAGAGGGGGTGTGAAAAGAAATTCACAGGAAAGTGGCTACATATTGGACAGAAAGCCACCTTGCACAGCGTTCTACAATATAGTATACTTGATGGTATAATTTTTTGACACACCTCCTGCTGGAAGTGTAACCAATGTGGTGGTGCTGCAAATGCATTAGACAGTATTTTGTCATTGTTTATGCAGCACATTTATATTATATTTATATACCGGTCTTGTTGTGGTTTTTTATGTGGTTTTAGGTTTGAAAGTATCATCTCATGCTGAGGTGATGGTGAACCGGGGTAATTACCCTTTGTCTATTATCATTGTTCAATAAAACATCATTTTTGGAATAATCCTGAGTATCGCATTCTGTCCAATATGTAGCCACTTTCCTGTGAATTTCTTTTCAATCCACCTCTTTGTTTATGATGATATCTGCCCTGGGCCTAACTGACCTACAAAAAGAAAAAAATGACCACTTTTGGTTGTGGTTTTCACATCGATGATGTACTGTTCTGACAGGAAAGGTTTGTAGGAGGGTTCGAAGGTGAGAGGGTCAGGAGGTAGGAAGTATCGTAAAGTATCATAAAGTAACCATCACACAAACCCAAGCTAAGCTGAGTGAAGAACGGAGAAACACATCAGCAGAGGTTGCCTCCAGTGAAGTCCATGTGTGGAGATAATCCATAGATTCAACGAGTTACGCAATTAATATTCTGTGTATAGCTCCCCAGTACTTGTGTCACCAGAGAGATCTGCACTCCAGTACAGGGGCGGACTGACAACTCATGGGGGCCCCCGGGCAATAGGGGATCATGGGGCCCCTGTGTCCTTGCCCAAACTCAAAAAAGCCTATGAAAAAGGTACCAGGGGCATCTCATGGGGCCCCCTACTGACCCTGGGCCCTCAGGCAGTGTCTGAGTTTCCAAATGGTCAGTCCGCCCCTGCTCCAATGTACACCTCACTCCGCAGTACCGGTGTCACCGGAGAGATCTGCACTCCAGTATACACCTCACTTCCCAGTACTTGCGTCACCAGTGAGATCTGCACTCCAGTACACAGAGCTCACTCTCCAGTACCCATGTCACAAGTGATATCTGCACTCCAGTACACAGAGCTCACTCTCAGTACCCATGTCACAAGTGATATCTGCACTCCAGTACACAGAGCTCACTCTCCAGTACCCATGTCACAGTGATATCTGCACTCCAGTACACAGAGCACAGAGCTCACCCTCCAGTACCCATGTCACCAGTGATATCTGCACTCCAGTACACAGAGCTCACCTCCAGTACCCATGTCACCAGTGATATCTGCACTCCAGTACACACAGCTCACTCTCCAGTACCCATGTCACCAGTGATATCTGCACTCCAGTACACAGCTCACTCTCCAGTACCCATGTCACTAGCGATATCTGCACTCCAGTACACAGAGCTCACCCTCCAGTACCCATGTCACCAGTGATATCTGCACTCCAGTACACAGAGCTCACCCTCCAGTACCCATGTCACCAGTGATATCTGCACTCCAGTACACAGAGCTCACCCTCCAGTACCCATGTCGCCAGTGATATCTGCACTCCAGTACACACAGCTCACTCTCCAGTACCCATGTCGCTAGTGATATCTGCACTCCAGTACACACAGCTCACTCTCCAGTACCCATGTTACAAGTGATATCTGCACTCCAGTACACAGAGCACTCTCCAGTACCCATGTCACAAGTGATATCTGCACTCCAGTACACAGAGCTCACTCTCCAGTACCCATGTCACCAGTGATATCTGCACTCCAGTACACACAGCTCACTCTCCACACCCATGTCACAAGTGATATCTGCACTCCAGTACACAGAGCTCACTCTCCAGTACCCATGTCACAAGTGATATCTGCACTCCAGTACACAGAGCTCACTCTCCAGTACCCATGTCACAAGTGATATCTGCACTCCAGTACACAGAGCTCACTCCAGTACCCATGTCACAAGTGATATCTGCACTCCAGTACACAGAGCTCACTCTCCAGTACCCATGTCACAAGTGATATCTGCACTCCAGTACACCACAGCTCACTCTCCAGTACCCATGTTACAAGTGATATCTGCACTCCAGTACACAGAGCACTCCAGTACCCATGTCACCAGTGATATCTGCACTCCAGTACACACAGCTCACTCTCCAGTACCCATGTCACAAGTGATATCTGCACTCCAGTACACACAGCTCACTCTCCAGTACCCATGTCACTAGTGATATCTGCACTCCAGTACACAGAGCTCACTCCAGTACCCATGTCACAGTGATATCTCCAGTACACAGCTCACTCTCCAGTACCCATGTCACAAGTGATATCTGCACTCCAGTACACACAGCTCACTCTCCAGTACCCATGTCACCAGTGATATCTGCACTCCAGTACACAGAGCTCACCCTCCAGTACCCATGTCACCAGTGATATCTGCACTCCAGTACACACAGCTCACTCTCCAGTACCCATGTTACAAGTGATATCTGCACTCCAGTACACACAGCACACTCTCCAGTACCCATCTTAAAAGTGATATCTGCACTCCAGTAAGAGATCTCACTCTCCAGTACCCATGTCACCAGTGATATCTGCACTCCAGTACACACAGCTCACTCTCCAGTACCCATGTCGCTAGTGATATCTGCACTCCAGTACACACCTCATCACTCTCCAGTACCCATGTCACAAGTGATATCTGCACTCCAGTACACACAGCACACTCTCCAGTACCCATGGTAAAAGTGATATCTGCACTCCAGTACCGAGATCTCACTCTCCAGTACCCATGTCACAAGCGATACCTGCACTCCAGTACACACAGCTCACTCTCCAGTACCCATGTCACTAGCGATATCTGCACTCCAGTACACAGAGCTCACTCTCCAGTACCCATGTCACCAGTGATATCTGCACTCCAGTACCGAGATCTCACTCTCCAGTACCCATGTCACAAGTGATATCTGCACTCCAGTACCGAGATCTCACTCTCCAGTACCCATGTCACTAGTGATATCTGCACTCCAGTACACACAGATCACTCTCCAGTACCCATGTCACAAGTGATATCTGCACTCCAGTACACACAGCTCACTCTCCAGTACCCATGTTACAAGTGATATCTGCACTCCAGTACACACAGCTCACTCTCCAGTACCCATGTTAAAAGTGATATCTGCACTCCAGTACACACACAGCTCACTCTCCAGTACCCATGTTACAAGTGATATCTGCACTCCAGTACACACAGCACACTCTCCAGTACCCATGTTAAAAGTGATATCTGCACTCCAGTACACACAGCTCACTCTCCAGTACCCATGTCACCAGTGATATCTGCACTCCAGTACCGAGATCTCACTCTCCAGTACCCATGTCACCAGTGATATCTGCACTTCAGTACACACAGCTCACTCTCCAGTACCCGTGTCGCCAGTGATATCTGCACTTCAGTACCCAGATCTCACTCTCGAGTACCCATGTCACTAGTGATATCTGCACTTCAGTACCCAGATCTCACTCTCCAGTACCCATGTCACCAGTGATATCTGCACTCCAGTACACACAGCACACTCTCCAGTACCCATGTTACAAGTGATATCTGCACTCCAGTACACACAGCACACTCTCCAGTACCCATGTTAAAAGTGATATCTGCACTCCAGTACCGAGATCTCACTCTCCAGTACCCATGTCACTAGCGATACCTGCACTCCAGTACACAGAGCTCACTCTCCAGTACCCATGTCACCAGCGATATCTGCACTCCAGTACACACAGCTCACTCTCCAGTACCCATGTCACTAGCGATACCTGCACTCCAGTACACAGAGCTCACTCTCCAGTACCCATGTGTAGCACCACGCTGAAAACTTTATTCATTATTATATTTTAAGCAATCTACAGTTGCAGGAAAAAGTATGTGAGGCCCTAGCTTAATGACTTCTCCCAGAGCTAATTGGAGCCAGGAGTGAGCCAACCTTGACTCCAATCAGTGTGATGATATTGTATGTGTTGCTGACAGCTGTCCTGCCCTTAAAACACACACCTGTTTTGGGTTTACTGGTTTGAAGAAGCACTGTCTGATGTGAACCATGCCTCGCAGAAAAGAGCTCTCAGAAGACCTACGATCAAGAACTGTTGACTTGCATGAAGCTGGAAAGGGTTACAAAATATCTCCAAAAGCCTTGATGTTCATGTGTCCACGGTAAGACAGACTGTCTACAAATGGAGAAAGTTTAGCACTGTTGCTACTCTCCCTAGGCGTGGTTGTCCTGTAAAAATGACTGCAAGAGCACAGCGCAGAATGCTGCATGAGGTAAAGAAGAATCCCAGAGTGTCAGCTAAAGACCTACAGAAATCTCTGGCACATGCTAACATTTTTGTTGACACATCTACAATAAGGAAAACATTAAACAAGAATGGAGTACATGGGAGGACACCACGGAGGAAGCCATTGCTGTCCAAAAAGAAGATTGTAGCACCTTTGAAGTTTGCAAAAGAGCACCTGGATGTTCCACAGCGCTACTGGCAAAATATACTGTGGACAGATGAAACCAAGATTGAGTTGTTTGGGAAGAACACACAACACTATGTGTGGAGAAAAAAAAGGCACAGCACACCAACATCAAAACCTCATCCCCACTGTGAAACATGGCGGAGGGAGCATCATGGTTTGGGGCTGCTTTGCTGCCTCAGGGCCTGGACGGATTGTTGTCATTGATGGGAAAATGAATTCCAGAGTTTATCCAAACATTTTGCAGGAAAACGTACGACCATCTGTCCGCCAACTGAGGCTCCGCAGAGGATGGGTGATGCAACAGGACAATGACCCAAAGCATACAAGTAATTCAACAAAACAATGGCTGCAACAGCACAGAATACGCCTTCTGGAGTGGCCCAGTCAGAGTCCTGACCTCAACCCGATTGAAATGCTGTGGCATGACCTTAAGAGAGCGATTCACACCAGACATCCCAAGAATATTGCTACACTGAAACAGTTTTGTGGAGAGGAGGGTCCCAAAATGACTCCAGATCGTTGTGCAGGTCTGATCTGCAACTACAGGAAACGTTTGGTTGAGGTTATTGCTGCCAAAGGAGGGTCAACCAGTTATTAAGTCCAAAGGTTCACATACTTTTTCCTCCCTGCACTGTGAATGTTTACATGTTATGTGCAATTAAACCATGGCAACATCTAATGTTTGTGTAGTATTATGTTCAGCAGACTGTGTTCTTCTATTGTTGTGACTTAGATGACGTTCAGAGCACATTTTATGCCCAATTCATGCAAAACTCCACGTAATCCCAAGGGGTTCACATACTTTTTCTTGCAACTGTATATATAAATACTTTCCCCAAAATTATTAAAAATATACATTTAAACTCTAAATATTTAGGACAAAACAATCCAGAGTACCTGGGGTCTACCTGTCCCATGTGATTTGGCTCCCAAGAGTCAATATATACTACTTCAAGGACAGATTTCATCTATCAGCACAAGTGACACATTGCGTTGATAGGAAGTCCTCAACCTTGACTCATTTTAGGCTTCAACTCCCCCCCATTCTTCTGCCATGTCTGGTTGCCAGGATGAAGCAGGGCAGAGAATGGAGCCTTTTTACTGTACCATAGAATTTTTCACACTTTGCCGTCTGCCTGTCTGCTAGATGTCCCTGTCAGAGGAAACGTCTCCCTGCCCTGGCTGTGTGCAGCCTGCCTGATACAGATCTGCGTGTTGGGTGTTTGTGGAGGACGATGAAAAAGTTTCCAAGTAGGCGATGAGAAGAGATTCTCCATATACAGACAACCATTTCGCTTCCAACCACAAAGGCGTCTCGCCTGCCGGTATGGAAAAAAAAAAACATTTATTAGAGACTTCATAATACATTGACTTTTTCCTAAATACATTAACTTACAATAAAAAAAAAATAGTTGCTACATTTATTTCTAGAGATATTTGGCCTTTGAGGGAACTCGCACCTATAACCGTGGGGTACATCGCTCAGGACGTTGTATTAGAAGATCTTAGTACTTAAAGTGGAACGAAACGGCATCTGAGCACCACAAACCGAAAATACTTTTTATTAATTTTTAATA